TGGAATCCAACAAACCAAGTACATGGTCTCTAACTTGATCTCCCTCTACATATTGGATAATATTATTCTCTTGATCATCCAGCTTTGCTATAGTACCATTCGACCTTATACCATTGTCTTCAACTTGAACATCTTCTTGCAACACGGTGTTGATAAATTCTTCAATATCTCTCATATTCTCATCATTAACTACCTCATCAATATTGTTTCCTTTTTTCTTGTCACCAGGTTTGCCCTTCTTCTTGATCTTACAAATTACGAAACCTTTGTTCTTAATCTCCCTAGCAGCCAGATAACGATCAAACAAAGAGTACTCTGTCATCAACCACTCGCCATTCACATTGTTTGACGATTTGTTAGCGGGGATGTACTTCAAACTTTTCACGTATCCCATGAGTCTTCCTTTATCATCAAACACCTCTCGGCCTTTGCCTTGAGGCTTCCAAGTGCCCTTCCCGACAGTTCTTGAAACTCTTTTCCACGTTGGCTTCTCTTTCTTCTGCGGCGTTATGAAGTAACGAGTGTTGTTGTTGTTGTTTCCCTGATCATAAGCTTCGAAAATCTGCCATGGCTCCTTGTCGGCGTAGAGATCCGCCACCTGCATGAGTTCATTCTGAGAGTGAAGTGGGTCGTCTCTCACAAACCCTATTAGATACTTGAGCACTTCCCTGTCCGTAGGATGAAAGCGATGACCCATCGGGCGAGAAAAACACTTAGCCTGAGAATACTCCATTAATGAACAGTACTACTGCTGCGAAGAAATTATGAGTAAGGAAGAAATAGTAGAATGGCGGAAACCCTACTAAGATACAGTAGCTAGCTATGAATTGATGGTTGAGTTTTGAGGTACTCTATACTCATAGACTATAGCTATTTGGAGTTGGATATATAACTTATTTTTCATGCACGATTTGTTTCATTTCTTTTAGGGTTTTACCTGGAAGCTGCTGATTGGTACAATATGTGGAGAAGATCGTGATCCTATATACTTTCCATACGTTTGTCACACCTCCTTTTTGCGCGCCCCGCCCCGAAGGGTTAAATGCGCGACGGGAGTTTTTCCAATTTAAGTGACAATATTCGAAATGAGATTATTTATTTAATTCAGAGTCGCCACTTGGGAAAGGTTTGGCTTTTGGTGTCCCAAGTCACCGGTTTATCTTGAATCCCAAATCGAGGAAATTTTCGACTTTTCCAAATGAAGTCTGCGAACCAGAAATTCTAAGTAAGGAATTCTGTTGACCCGAGGGAAGGTGTTAGGCACCCTCGAATCCCGTGGTTCTAGCACGGTCGCTTAAATTGTTATAATGGCTAAATATCTGATTTAAATACATGTTGTGACTTATGTGCTTTTATTAAGTTTAAACCGCTTTTATTATTATCATTTATTTTTATAGAATTGCAACGTCGTGAAAATGCATCTCGAACCGCGTCACAATCAATGCACCCGTAGTTGTCAACATATTTCGACTCCGTTGAGATTTGGATTCGGGTCACATCAATGTGCACCCGAGTTTAAAAATCTAATTTAATTAAGCCGCCTCTAAAGAGTCTAACGCATTATTATTTTCGGGGAAGGCCATGAAATTTACTAAACGGCCTGTCCTGAATTCTAAATATTTATTAGAGTTAGTTATTGAGGGCCCCGCAATTTGCATTTTTATTTGGCGAGGCTCGTCTCTATTTTAGAAAGGATATCCTAAAGCGACTACATTTCTAAATGCGTTTGTCTAAAAATAGAAGAAGAAAGACACACGTTAATTCAAGTATATGCTTTGTCCTAACCCGGATCCTTGTCAACTTTTGATTAATTACTTATAAAATGGAGAGACCGTCATACCTTGTGAAACATGCTTTAATTGGACAAAGAAGTCACATGCGAGATCGACGAAATACAACACTTAATCTAAACAACATCCTAAAGTCGGATTTCAATTAACTTGCTTAAACAGGATTAATAGAATTCCTTATTAAAGGATGTTACCGATGATGTTCAAAACTAATCCTATAAACTGCCTAAAGGAAATCGAACTGGGTGATTCAAAACTGTATCATATTTGGCTAGATTTAAAAGCCATTTTCCCCTTACCTATTCAAAGCATGCTGAAAGAGTGAGTTTAATTTTAACAATCGTATTAAATAGTTTCACATTCCATGAATTGTATTTACATCCTGTATGCTACTAAATGAATCAAATATCGCGGTTTCATATCAAAATAAACTTTAATTAAGTACAAGCTTACTAATGTATTCTCTATTAGACTAATAAACTAAAATGTACACAGCTTGACAACATTTATAAAAACTTGTAAGTGAAGCAACAGATGATTATAATTCCTTCAGATCTTTCGATTCAAACTTTCATTGCGACATCAGTTACATCAGACAGATTCGAAATGTGTACCTGAGGAGATGCTTACAATGAAAGAAGCAGGAGGTCAGTAAAATGACAATGGCAAACAGAAACAGCAGCAGTAACAGCAGGTAACAAATAGAACAGCTCCCAGTGCAAGATACAGTTAGAACCGATGGAAAAATGGCTGAAAGACAGCAGCAAACAACGCAGTGGAGACAAAACTCCAAGACAGATCAAATCCAGGAGAAAACAAACAATGTGAATCCACCAATGAACTCAACTGATACTTGAAAGAAAATAGAGTTGATTGAACAGGTCGAACGAACTGAGAATCACACAAACAAGGAAGAAACAGTTGCTGATTTTCTGTATATCCCTCCCCTATCTCCTTTTTTTTTCAAAATCCAATATCAGTCTTCAGTTTTGAAATTATACTTGAGTTATCAGAAAGAAACCTTTTCCAGTTTTACTGTTTTTCAGAACTTCCAGTTCTCCCTCTTCTTCTTTCTCTCTCTCTATCTGTCTCTTCTCCCTTAAACTGATGGAAGTTCCCCCTTTTATAAACCTAAAATCAGCCCTTTAACAGCCTGTTTAGACAATTAGAGCACCCCTCCCATGTGCTATCTTCTTTTCAGTTTTCACTTACTATTTAAATAAGAACACAACCCCATGATATTCCCTTGGCAGGCTTACCTTTTGAGTAATGTTTATTATTTCTGAAACTAAAGCAGAATATGGGCAGCAGAATGTACCCTGACAGCATATGCAGTCAAACTATTTAATTCAAAAAGGGTCTTTATGCACATGTTGTGCACAAGTGCACATGCCATCAATTCAGATTGCAATTACAGACCAAACCTTAGATTTCTGAAGTCAAATTAACAACTATAAGTTACTAAACTCAGTTCCTAATTGATTTAGGCAATGCTTAACAGAAGCAGGTCAATTGGTTATTGTTCGGAAAACTGAAACTAATTGACGACATATATCGACTCGACTATACTAGTTATAACACATACAATCGAAGCCAATAATCAGAAATCCAAGAGTATCACACAAGGGGTTCTGATTGCAATGTTAATACAGAGGTTAACTTGGGGATTAATTACTCAAACAATTTCAATTCAATCAATTAGGCAGTTCACATACACACACATTATCAGTGAATGAGAAAACATTCGATCAAACAAAAGGGTACAGGTAAGGTGGACAATCAACAGTTGATAAAAATTCAAAGACACAAATTACACAAGACATTCAGCCATACGAACAGACCTTTAAACCACACACGTATTGAATAACAAAGAGAAAACAAACTTACCATAAAACTTTGAAAGCAGAAACAGAAAAATCAACTTGTGTTGTACAGACCCTTCTCAAGGTTGAACGGACTTTAATCGAAGTGTTTCTCAAATGAGAAACACTTCGATTAAGGTCCATTAGACCCTAATCTCTTGGTTTAAACAGGCACGAGGAACCCTTAATCGAAGTGTTTTCTCAAATTAGAAACACTTCGATTAAGGTCCATTAGACCATAAACTCTTGGTTTAAACAGGCACGGAACAGG